AATAGAAAAACCATGTGATCATCTCAATAAATGCAGGAAAAGATTTAGGAAAATCCAATATACATTTCTGAGAAGAATGCTTAGAAAACGAAAAATAGAAAGAAACCTCCTTAACCTGACAAAAAGCATCTTTGGAAAACCTACAAGTAACATCAGACTTAATGGTAAGACTGAAAGCCTTTTTTTTTTTTTTTTTTTTTTTTTTTTTTTTACGGAGTCTCGCTCTGTCACCCAGGCTGGAATGCTGTGGCACAATCTTGGCTTACTGCAACCTCCACCTCCCAAGTTCAGGAGATTCTTCTGTCTCAGCCTCCCGAGTAGCTGGGACTATAGGTGTGCGCTACCACACCCGGCTAATTTTTGTATTTTTAGTAGAGACAGGGTTTCACCATATTGGCCAGGCTGGTCTCGAACTCTTGACCTCATGATCTGCCTGCCTCGGCCTCCCAAAGTGCTGAGATTACAGGCCTGAGCCACCGCGCCCAACCCGAAAGCCTTTTTAAGATAAGGAACAAGCTAAGCCATGTCCTCTACCACCAATTCTAATCAACATTATACTGCATATTCTATTCTGTTCAATCAGGCAGGAAAAATAACAGACACCATATTAGGAAGGAAGAAATAGAACTGTGTTTATTCATAGACAATGTCATCATCCATGTAGAAAATCTGATGGAATCTACAATGAGCCAGAATAAATGAGTTCATTGAGATTTCTAGTTATAAAATTAATGTACAAAAATTAATTGCATTTCTGCTAGCAACAATCAGAAATTAAACTTAAAAGGCAATACCATTTACAATAACATAAAAATATGGAATACTTAAAATTAAAATTTGGCAAGAGATATGAAAGAACTGTGTGCTGAAACTATTAAACATTGTTGAGAGAAATTAAAGAAAATCTAAATAAAGAAAGAGATAAATAGTGCTTACGTGTCAGAAGACTCAGTATTGGCATAATGATAAATTGACCAACATAATACAAAGTCCAGAAATAGATACATACATAGGTAATTGATTTTTTTTCACATGGGTGCAAAGGCAATTCACTGCAGAAAATACAGGTTTTTCAATAAAGGGTGCTAGAACAAGCAAATACCCATATGCAAAATAATAAACTTCCATACACATTTCATATTATATTTTAAAAATTAACTCAAAATGGACCTCAGAATTAAAAGTAAAACACAAAACTATAACACTTCTAGAATAAAGTATGAGAGAAAATTTTTATGACTTTGAATTAGGCAAAATTTTCTTTCAACATCCAAAAGCAAGCCATAAAAGAAATAAAAAGACAAATTATACTTCATCGAATGGTAAACTTCTCTCTGAATGATGCTGTTAAAGAATAAAAAGACAAATCCCAGACTGGGAGAAAGTATTTACAAAGTATACATCTGATAAAAGGGTTATATCCAGTATATATAATAAAGAAATCTCTCAAAACTCAATAATAAGAAAACAACCCTTTCGAAAAAAGGGGCAAAAGTATTAAACAACCACTTCACTGAAGAAAATATGTGAATGGCAAATAGGTATATAAAAAGATGCTCAAGGCCGGGCGCAGTGGCTCATGCCTGTAATCCCAGCACTTTGGGAGGCCGACGCAGGCAGATCATGAAGTCAGGAGTTTGAGACCAGCCTGACCAACATGGTGAAACCTGTCTCTACCAAAAATACAAAAATTAGCTGAGCGTGGTTGTGTGCACTGTAATCCCAGCTACTCGGGAGGCTGAGGCAGAAGAATCACTTGGACCCAGGAGGTGGAGGTTGCAGTGAGCTGAGATTGTGCCATTGCACTCCAGCCTGGATGACAGAGTGAGACCCTGTCTCAAAAAAAAAAAAAAAAAGTTCAAAATCTTTAGCTACTAGGGTACTACTAAAATCGCTACATATCTATAAGAATGTCTAAAATAAAAAGACTGACCATATCAAGTGTTGGTGAAGGTGAGGAGCAACTTGATCTCTATAGATCACTGACGGGAGTATAAGATGCTGAAACCACCCTCTCCTTCCAAAAAGGAAAGTATATGTCCATACAATGATTTTTACACAAATGTTTATAACAAATTTATTTGTAATAGTGAGATGGTTAACTTTAGGTGTGGTCTTGACTGGATTAAGAAACACATAGAAACGGCCCAGTGCGGTGGCTCACACCTGTAGTCCCAGCAGTTTGGGAGGCTGAGGCGGGTGGATCATGAGGTCAGGAGATTGATACCATCCTGGCTAACATGGTGAAACCCCGTCTCTGCCAAAAAGAAAAATACAAAAAAATTAGCCGGGCATGGTGGCAGGCAGTAGTCCCAGCTACTCGGGAGGCTGAGGCAGGAGAATGTCCTGAACCTGGGAGGTGGAGTTTGTGATGAGCCGAGATCACGCCACTGCACTCCAGCCTGGGCGACACAGTGAGACTCCGTCTCAAAAAAAAAAAGAAAAAAAAAGAAAAGAAAAGAAAAGAAATACATAGAAACCTGGTAAAGCATTATTTTGGGGTCTGTCTGTGAGAGTGTTTCCAGAGGTTAGCATGTGAGTCTGAGTCAACTAGGTGGGGAAAATCCATCCTCAATATGGGTGGGCACTATCCAATCCACCAGGGTCTGGAGAGAACAAAAACAAAGAAAAAGCAAATATGTCAATCTATCTGCTGAAACTGGGAGACACCCTTCCTTTCTTGTCCTTGGAAAACAAACTATAGACTCCAAACCTTTGGACTCCAAGACTTGCCCCAGCAGCCCCTCTAAGTTCTCAGGCTTTTGGCATTGGATTGAGAGTTAACATCATAGGCTTCCCTGGTTTCAAGGCCTCTGTACTTGGACTGAGCCATGCTACCAGCACCCCAGGGTCTCCTGTTTGCAGATGACCTGTTGCAGGACTTCTCATCCTCCATAATAGTGTGAGCTAACCCCCCTAAATAAGTTCCCTCTCATATATCCATATGTATATACTCTTGATTCTGTCTCTCTGGAGAACCAAGCCAATACAAATAGCCAAAAATTGGAAACAATCCAAATGGTCATCAACAGGCGAATGGATACGCAAATTGTAATATATCCATATGATGGAATAATACTTAGCAATAAAAAGGGATGGGCTATTGATACACATAACATGGAACTCAAAATAATGATGCTGAATGAATAAAGCTAGAAAATAAGAGAATATACTGTATGATTCCATTTAAGTAAAACTGCAGAAAATTCAAACTAATTTATAGTGACGGCTGATCAATTGTTGCCTGGGGCAGAGGTTAAGGAGGGGTGTGAGAGAGAGATTACAAATTAATAGGCGTGAGAAGACTTTGGGGAGTTATGGCTATGTTCACTATCTTGATTGTGACGATGGTTTTACTAGTCTGTGTTTGTGTTGGTATAGACATAAAAATAGATATATCATTTATGTATATCTAAATTTATAAAAGTATACAGTTTAAATATATGTAGTTACTGTATTGTCAATTATATATAAATAAAACTTTAAAAATTATATAGGTCCCACAACTTTGTTCCCTTAATTATTCAAGAGTTTAACCAAAGTCTCTGATTATTTTTAAAATATTCACTGTTTCATCCCAAATGACACTACCCATAATTGGAATACTAAAAATTCCTTAACTGCATAATGAATTATTTTTAAGTACACAATGCAAAATGAACACTTATTTATTAAAATGATGTTTTTAAAAAAAACTTTGAAGTGATATCCAGACAAACTATAAAAATCTAACAAGAATTGCAAGCATGTGAAAGTAAAACTAGAATATAAAATGAAAATTACCTACATGTCCAAACAAGAATATACATAGAGGCCTGTATAACATTTTCAATGGGATTTTCTCTTGGTGCAGTTCTAACCCTGTGATGAAAAATATCTTTTCTTAAAGTGTATAATTACCCTCTGTCACTCTTAAATCTCCTCTGGTGTCTAAGCTCGTTTAATAATGGTGAACAGATGAGCAGAAATTAAAAGTAAAGGCCTTCTACCAATTTAGCCCCCTGCACATAATGTACCTATAATGATAGTTTGATTGCCAGTGCCCATTATTTTGTTGCTGCCTTTTTTTTTCTATTACTGCACCAGAGCCCTGGGTTTCAAAAAGAATGTAGCATCCTGTTTGATAAAACCAGAGCAATTTACATGAACACCAGTTTTAGCCTGTATTAGAAAGATGCACAGAATAAAGTGGAAAACATAATGTAACGCCACGTGGACCATTTAATGTCAGTGGCACTCTTCACTTAAATATCATATTACATTTTGGTTAATTTATTTTTCAAGAAAGAAAAGTGAAAAGCATGACTTTTTCCGGTATAATAAGGGATGAAAATTGAAGTGTTTATGGATAATAAAATGAATAAGAAAAATATATCGAAATGAGGCTAGCGAGTTCCCTACCACATTTCCCTCAGTGGATATGGAGCAAGTAAAAATAGATATTTAAGGTAAAGCCAAAAGAGATATTATCCAAGTCTGGTAGAGAGCAGGCAAGTCTTGAAATACCATTGTAATTTTAACTATTATTTAGATCGGAAAACCTCCTGTTCTAAGACTATTATCTTCAATTACTCTTATCCAATTATATATGGCATCTTGTTTATATTTCCATTTTTCCCAGGGAAAATCATGATAATCATAATAACTGCTAGTAAGTCATGTAGGAAAGAAGCCTCCACACTATACATTATGATTGCAGTAAAAATAATAAATTGGGTTTTTCAAATGATTGTGATGACTTCCCCCACTTTTAACACTAAGTAGACCAGTTATTTTAGTGAAGTGTGGACCTGGCCTCAGACAGCTGCCTCAGTTCCCCGTGAGGACGTTGCTCCCCGGGATGCAGTGCTCCCTGCTGATGTGTGGGGAGGACTTCCAGGCCACTGGGCGCGCACGTCTGGACCGCGGAAGTGGACGTGGGAGTGAAGAGACCCCAATGCGACCTGACTAATATGCAGCACAAAGTTCTGTGAGAAGATGTGTTATGTAAAACCCCACTCACCAGCAAACACACAGTCTCAGTGTGGAGCTGAGGGCTCAGTTATCGCTTCCCCTGCCTGGCAGACCTGAAGGATGTAAACAGCTTGTGGTAATACCAGGGCCCAATCTAGCGCCAGTAAAAGATCTCCCTCTCCACAGACCTCTGCAATTACTCAGGAGGATTGTAGACGGTTTTCAGTTACCCTAAAAACATCCCGTGTAGGCCCGTCTTGTCCGTGGACAAGCAGACTGTATGGATCATTTGTCTTTCCGTGGATGCTTTTCCTCGCCCTCCACCACCTGTACAAGCAACTCTGGCCCTCGACGTGCATCCCTTCAATCATTATAACCTTCTCCCTCAGTCACTTCCTTGATTTTATAGCAACGTGTGCTCCGTTTTCCCTTTAGATGTTCTGGAGCTTGGATAGGAATTTGAATCCATTCTTTGGGCTGTTTTCTGAGACCAGTTCTGTGTGGGGTCCTAAAGCTCCTTGTCAATGTGGGAGGCGATTTTGAGGCGATGGAAGCCGCGTTGGCCCTTGCACTCCCCGCTCCCGGGGGCAGCGGGGTTCGGCAGAGAGCACGATTTTACACATATTAAGTGCCTCTGAGTCCTGTAGAGAACCTCCAGCCCCAGACTTCCGCATGAAACAAGGGCGCACAGACTGGAGCTGTGGGGGGCTGAGGAGAGCCGTTTATTTGGAGAGCCTAGCACAGGAGGCGGCCCTGTCTCTATGGCTCTGAAGAGACCACCTTTAGACTGCTAAGTGCTGCCCTGGTCTCTTTAAGAAGGGTTCAATGTCAGCAAGCTCGAAGCCAAGCAGAAGAAAAACAGCCGAAAGGAAGAAGGCTCGGGGGGAGTGACTCCACTAGGCCAGCCGAGAGGGAACCGGGTCTCTCCTCCTTGACTGAGTAACAGCCAGTGGGGCATGCAGGCACCCCGGCAAGTGCTACTGAGCATCAACTCCTAGGAGCCAGGCCTTACTAAAGGACAAAGGATGAGCACAGGACACAACCCATTCAAAGGCTTCCCAGCCTTAGCCGTGGCCTCCAGCACCTCTCACATAAGCAGCCAGTAATGGAGTCTCCCATGGAGGCGTTGGAGCTCAACCTTCTAAAGCCAGATCCAACAACTACCCATTTGAATAGTTGGCCGGTGGCTCGGAGCCAGGCGTTCCTGTGGCAGGATTACATCTTCCTGTCTTCTTCTTTCTCCTCCTTGGCATTCGTAGACCCAGCAGAGACCCTGCAGGGATGGATAACCTGCTTTTTAGGTGCTGGGAGACGGGGACATACCAGGTAATGACATGCCTGGAAGACACAGCTCTGTCTTCCAGGCCCAGCAGGGAGCCCGCCTCCATAGCAGAGAGGATGGTCGAGCTGACCTAATAAATATTTTCCATCTCTAACCTCAGTAATTATTTTCATGTGTCACAGCTCAGTAAGGAACGATGAAAAATAAAGTTTCCCTGATTAGACAAGACCCGCAGATCACTGGGAGTAGAATCTGAAACTGTTCTCTGTATTGCTCAAGAAGTCATTCTCCACACTCATCAGAGAGCTGATGTCACCCCATCCCTGCTCAACTACACAAAGTAAGTGAGTTTCTTTCTTTCCTGATTACATGTCTATTCTTTCCTTGTCATCTCTTACACCCCATCCCTCCCCACTCCAAAATCTACAATAGTGGAGTTTTTATCTGCTCTTTTCTCCTTTGAAGGTTTGAAAACTTACCTATTTCTGTGTGAGAATCTCAGATCCCATTCTGCTTACAGCCACAATACTTCTCTGAGGGGTGGGGAATGTGGTCGGATGAGTGGTAGGAAAATGCCTTTCGGAAAATTTTTTGATTTGCTACACTCTATTGAGTCCTAGTGGGAAGTCAGCATCCCTTTACTATTTTGGAAAATTCTCAGAAACGATATGCACAAAAGTTTCAGCAAAACATTTTCCATCCTAATAACTTTTTCTAGATTGTCCCAAGGTAAGAAGAGAGGGGCTAGGGAAGGCAGCCTGTTAAAACATGGTTCTTCCTTCTTCCCCATGCTGGGCTAGGGGCAATGCCATCTCTAAACAAGAATCCCAATTTAGGGAAGCTTTTGGCCCCGGGGAAAGAGGTGGTTAGCATAATAAAAAAAGCCTCATTTAAACTATTTGCATTTAATTTCGGTTCAGACCTCCTCAGTAGAGTTTACTCCACTGTAGATTATTGCACCACAGTGCAAATAATAAAAAACAAACAAACAAGCAAACAAACAAACAAACAAAAACACACAGTGAGCGATGTACCTAGGTCTGGGTCCCATGTGGAGACATTGTGCAGGAACCTCCGTTGGTGAATCCAGCTGGCACATGTGCCCTTCTATTACCCTTGGTGGGTGTACTTGTGTGGGGTAATCTGGGCATGAACAGAAAAGATATGTCGCAGCTGAAGGGGAATAGGAGGGTTTTTTTCCCCCCTTGGGGAAGCTGAATAAACGGTGTATTGTACACCTGTGTTTTGACTGCAGCCCATCGAATGAGGTCAGGTGTGAAATTTTCCATTTGTGGTGACATGTTGGCATTCAGAAAGTTTTGGATTTTGGATCATTGCAGACTTGAAATGTTTGGTTGAGGGATGCTCAACCGGTTTTAGAATTAATGATAAGTTCTCTTCAAGGGCTTATTGCTTAACGAGATCCAACATTGACAGGATACAGACAACCAGAGAAAAAATCATTTTCTAGGGGTTTGTGCTAATGTTGTTTTCCATCACACTGTCCAAGAATCTTCCTAAGGGAGAAGGGCTTTACCTTTGAGAAAACTTCAAAAGTGTGATCTGCTTCCTCAAGTCCAGTCTAAGAGGCAACAAGTTTGGTAGCTAAGTGTGCTGGTTTTAGGTCAGTATACCTGTGTTAGAGCCAAGAGAAATCTTAGGGAGCCTTTAGTGACATCCTTCTTCTTACGGAAAAGGAAAATGAGGCCACGAGAGGAAAGGTGACTTTCTCGAATGTTTACAGTAGAAGCCATGTCTTCTAAAATTGCTTCTAATGTTTCTTCTCAGAGAACTGGCAGAACTAGCAAAGTATCTCTCCAAACCATAGTCTACTTTTTCTAGTTTTTGTATGAGTCATTTTGTTTTGCTGTGTGTGTGTGTATTTTTTTTTTTTGAAGTATAACATAGATGCTCACAAGTGCACAAATCGTAAGTGTACACCTGGATCCATGTTCATAAAGTGGTCACATCCATATAACCAAACACCCAAGTCAAGAAACAAATTGTTACCAAGTCCCCTCCCACTTTGTTCCCCTTTCCAGTCACTGTCCCACTAAGAATAGCCACTGTTCTGACTTTCCTGGTTTTAAACTTTCGGTAAAGTGGATCATGTGGTATGTGCTCTTTGGTCTGGATTCTTTGGCTCAATGTTGTATTCATGAAATTCATCTCTTGAATTGTATGTAGTAATAGTTTTTTTTTTATTGACACACAGTATTCCATTATGTAAATACCAAATTTATTTATCCATTCTACTGTCGACATTTGTGTTATTGTCAATTTTTATCTATTATGCATAAAGGAAACTTTGTACATGTTTTGTCAGGCATATGTATGTCTCACTGGTGGAGTAGAATTGCTGAGTCATAGAATATTTGTAATTTAGCTTTAGTAGATACTGCCCAACAATTTCCCAAAGCGATTGTACCAATTTACACCTTTACCACCAGTGTATGAGAGTTCTAATTGCTCTATATCTTTGCCAAAACTTGCCACTAACAATGCCTTTCTCAAGAAATAAATTTATTGCTTTTCTTCCATTTGTGGAAGTTAGTTAAAGAGGTGAAAAGAAGAATTTTGTCTCAAATTTATTTTATATTTCTAATGGCTTTTGAGATGTCTCAGGTCCCACCCCCTAAAGATTTTCTGTTTTACCGCAGTATTGTCAGTCTTAGGTAAATGACTATAGGAGTATAATTTAGAGTTATAAGAAGGCTATTCCTAGAGGACTTTCTGGCCACACACTTAGCTAAAATATTACAATTAACGATGGCTTCCATTGGCTCTTAAAGTCTTGTGCTTTTCAGGAGTGCTTTATTGAGAAACAAAGATTTACTTTCAGCTAAGACCATAGCTGACAGTTCTGGGCCAGCTTGACGGTAGGTATCCTGATGTTAATTCCAAAGACAGATGCAGAAAGGATATCATCAGTAGGGATGAGGTAGAACACTATCACTCACCCCTTGGGTCAAGTGCTAGCTTGCAGCCTCCACATTTTAGAGACTACTTTATTATCAGAATGTTTACTTGGCCTGTAGAGTTATGGTAAGAGCAGAAAGGAGATAAATTTAACCTTAATACTGGTATTTGAAACCCAGTGTAGACTATTTGAAAACAAAACCTTTAACTGTCACTAAGTCCAAAATTAAAGTTTTGCCCCAAACAGAAACCAATTGATCCAGTGTTTTTATGCTGTATTAACAGCACAATCTATCTAGCTGCATCTCTGAGGCCATCAAAATCAGTACTATTTGGGCCAGCACTCTATAAAAATAATTTAATTTACATCTCCAATACCTGAGATAGATATAAACTCAATTGACTTATAATAGTGACATAATGTAATTTGCTGAAATCTTATACTATGCCAATGCCAGTTGTATAATAATCTCTTTAAATACATTATTATACAGTCCTGTCCTGACAATATCCCTTTGGGAGAGTTACGTTGTCCCCAGTTTGTGTATTAGAAAACTGAAGCATAAAAAAGTTAAAAAGACCTTGCCCTTCTATAAGTGTCAGCGTAGGGATTCAGGATAAAGTCTGTTGGATTTCAGTTCTCTCACAGGAACCACTGCCCTTGCCTGGCTCCTGCAGAAAACATACAGCTTTTCTTCAAAGGGCTTCAAGCTGGAAAGACCTGCAAGTCGTAATCTGAGCCCTATGTTTATCTCCACCTTTCTCTACCTGTGTCTTCCCCTATCTCTATGACTCTCTCCACCTCGTTCATGACCTGTCACCCACCAACTTTCTTGTCATGAAAGGTGCGCCTTGTGCATTTGCTTCTCCTGATAAATATCCAACAGAGAAGGCCTCACAAACACATTTTAGTCTGAAGCAGACTCTGCTGCAGCACCATCTGCCAGCTTGATAAAGACAATCCTCCTTTAATTAGGAATGTTGAAATGTTGGAAATCCAGGCCAACTTCTAGTGTTACAGAGAAAACTTAGAGTATGGAATCCTTGGAGGAAGAAGCCGAGAGTTGGGCCCAGATTTTCAGGGAAAACACACCACTTGCCTGAGTTCAGGAGAAATGCGGCCTTGTGTTTTGTCCTTGGGAGGCTTCCTGCACCCTCCCAAGTGGCCTCCGTGGTCGCACTGCCAGGGGCCAATGCACTGAGAAAAGTTCTCAGTGTGTTCACATGTTTCTAGCTTGTGTCTTTCCTTACATATGTGTGGGTTTTTTCTTAATAAAGGTTTGGCCAAAACTAACTCTTTTTGAATGTGCAGTTATTGAGCAAATACTAGACATTTCTCCAAAATTCCCATTGAATTTGAATATTCCAGAAAGGCACTTTACCCTGAAGAGAGTTTTACTTCAGGCCTGGGGTGCATTCTTTCTAAAATGGTGGAAATCAAAATTAGGTATACCTGGGAATTATTGCACACATAGTATATATAATTATAGAGTTAACACAATGCCATTTTAAATCATTGAAAGAGAATGTATACTTGAATATAGTATAGTCACTATAGCCAAACTGATAATTTTTTTCATGTGTTACATAGATTTTAATATAATCAAGCCTTCTAAAATAAAAAACAATTTGGTGCATTATAACGATAGATTTGTTTTATTTCAGCTGTTTAATGTTCCTTGAAGGTAAAGGGGTTGTTTATGTTCTTAAATTTTAGCCATCTTTTATTAATTTAGAAAGTAATGTAATCTATTATTATAACTACCGTTTAGCTGAATTGTCTATTTTTAAAACAGTTTTTATAATATGATTTGACAGTAAATGTTAATCATTTCTAGAAAGACGTGTGTCTTGGAACTTAGCAATAATGTTGTACCATGTATAATAATAGTGAGAAGAATAAATCCATGGCAAGTTTTACCTTAGGGAAATGATGTAATATTTCAATCCCCAGACAAAATTCTATGAAAGGAAACCTTTTTTTTTTTTTTTTTTGAGACCAAGTCTTATTGTTATCCAGGCTGAGGGCAGTGGCACAATCTTGGCTCACTGCAATCTCCAACTCTCAGGTTCACGTGATTCTCCTGCTTCAGTCTCCCAAGTAGCTGGGACTAGAGGCGTGTGCCACCACGCCAGGCTAATTTTTGTATTTTTAGTAGAGATGGGGCTTCGCCATGTTGGCCAGGCTGGTCTTGAACTCCTGACCTTAGTTGATCCACCTGCCTTGGTCTCCCAAAGTGCTGGGATTACAGGCATGAGGCACTGCGCCCGGCCAGGAAATCTTACAAGAACTTTAATATCTTAACACTGCCACATTCCTTTATTGCTTAATATAAGATATAGCCATTCATGTTTCTTTAGCTAAAACCACTGAAGAGCTAGAAATAAGCTGAACAAACGTAATTAATTTCACTTGACTGT